AAAAAAAAAAAAAAAAAAAAAAAAAAAAAAAGTTTTAATTAAATGTAGTTAAATCTACATCTACAAAAGTGAAGAAATAACAAAAAAAAATAATAAAAATTTTAAACATAAAAATAGTTGAATATTCAGAAAAACATTTTAAAGGAAAGAACATTTTTAAAATAAAAAAAAAAAATTATCAATATATACAAAGTGTTTTATTTTTTAAAAAATTAGACCATTTTATATTATTTTAAAAGCATACTTTTTTCTTTGTTTTTCTTTTTAAATATTCTGACACTTCTATTAGTTCATTATTCTCATTCTTTACATAATTAACTACATATATAGGTTTCCTTTTCTTTCTATTCTTATTTTCAGCATTTATTTTTTTATTGAAATATTTTGATGAATTTGAATCTTTACTTAAATTAAAAAATTGGCATAATTCTTTTCCTGATTCGTTTATTTCTATATCTTTTTGAAATGAATAATTATTTTTTTTATTTGATTTATAAATTTTTATATTTTCATTATCTTTTTTAAGTTGTAAAGTTATTTTTTTTATATCATTAATGTTTTTTATTGCTTCTTTATTATTAATATACCCAATATTTCTATTAATAATGTCATTCATTTTGTCTTCAATAATTTGTAAAATATTAGAATTTTCATAATTTAATTTTAAATTTAGTTCATTTTTAATATTTCTTAAATAACCTTTCATTTTTTCATCTTGTTTAATTAATATATTTTTTATATCTGTATATATATGAGAGAATTTTATTGTTACCCCTTCTTGTAAATTAGAAAATAAATTTTCTTCATCTATTTTGTAACACAATTTCTCTTTAACAATTTTATCAAATATCATATTAGTTATATTTTCATTATTTCTATTCAGTAAGTCAGTTATTTTATTTATATTTTCATTATTTTTGCTATTTAAATCGTTAATTGCTTTACTTATGTTTTCATTATTTATTTTATTTAAAGAATTAAAAGTTTTAGTCATATTTTCATTGTTTCTTTTATTTGTATCATCAATTATTTTTTTAATATTCTGATAATTTTTATTATCTAAATTATCAATTATATTATTTACATTTTCATTATTCTTGTTACTTATATTATTTATTAAATTGTTCATATGTTCATCTATTATATTTGAAAATTTTTTTTCAATATTTTCATCAACCTTATTAAGTACATTATTTATTCTCAATATATAATCACCCAAATTTTTTATAATCAATTCATTTATATTAATTAAGGTAACAGTGTTACTCTCAAGATAATTATTAACTTTTTTTTGAAATTCTAAAAAATTATTTTTTATAATATCATTTAAATCTTTGTTATTTATTTTAAAATTTTTTATTATTTTCATCTCTTTTTGTATAGTATTTGTTAAATCGTTTTTTATTAAAACACTTAAATTTTCATTAGAATTTTTTATAAGCATCTCATTTTTAATATAACTTTTTTTTATTTCTTCATTTACATTAAAACTGAAACCTTCTTGAAGTACATCTATACTTTTTTTTACTTCTTCATTTAAATTTAATTTTATATTTTCATATAATTTATTAATGTTCTTTTCGATTTCTTCATTCATATCTAAATTAATATCTTTATAAGTCATATTAATTTTTTCTATTATTTCTTTTCTTAATTTATTATGAATATCTTCATTTATTATATCAAATTTTTTATCAATTTTATCATATATATTTATATCAAAATTTTTATTCAATTCATGTATGCCATTTTTTACTTCTTCCTTCAAATTTTCATTAAGTTCTTTATTTATTGAATCAATATTATTTCTAATTTCTTTACATATGTTATCTTTTATACTGTCTTCTGTTGATCCAATAAATTTTTTTATATCATTATTTGAATCAAAATTTTCATTTTCATGCATTTTTTTAATTTTATTTTCTATATGCTCATTTAAACTTACATCAATATTTTTGTGTATTAAATCAATATTTTTTTCTATTGTATTAATGCTGTTTTTTAATTCTTCATTTAAATTATCATTAACGTTTTTTCTTATTATTTTAATATTTTTCTCAATTTGATCATTTAAATTTTCATCTATATTTCTATTTAAAATATCAATATTTTTTTTTAATTCTTTATTGATATTTTCACTTATTTTATTATTTAAAAAATCCACATTTTTCACTAATTCCTTATTTATGTTCTCATTTGCCTTAGTATTTATATTATTACGAACTATTTCTATTTTTCTTTTTAATTCTTCATTTACATTTTTAATTAAATTATCCTGAACATTATTTATATTTTCTATTAATTTAATATTTAACTTATTGTCAACTTCTTCATTAACTTTAGTATAAATTTTCTCTATATTGTTTTCTATTTCTTTATTTATGTTATCATTTAAATTATTATTTAAAAAATCAACATTTTTTCTTATTTCTTCATTTATATTTTTATGAACATTATCTTTTACACTGTTACAAACTAAATCTATATTTTTTTTTATTTCTTTTTCGATACTTTCATTTATTTTATCATAAATATAACTATTATTTAAATCATTTACATTCTTTTTTATAATACTTAATAATTTATTTTCAACAAAATTCATGATATTTTTTTCAATGGAATCTTGAACTTTAATGTCAATATTTTTAGACAAATGATTGTCAACTGTATTTTTTATAATTGCAGGAATATCTCTTTGAATACGATATTTCACTTTTAAAAGACTATTATTATTATTAATATCATTTACTGATTCATTTTCATTTTTTTTACATAATGATTCATTTATTTCTTTTTTATTTTTATGATAACTTCTATATATACTTTCATCTTTAGGTAGAATCTTTTTATTTCTATATATTAAATCATTCCATTCTTCATTTTTAATTTCATATTTTTTAATATCATCATAATCACAATGGAATACAGTTTTATTATTTATTATACTATCATTATAAATAGAACTATTTAGATATTGAGTATTTCTATAATTTTTTAGAATTTCTCCATTTTCCTTTTTCTGTTTTTTGTTGTTTCCTGTTTCTATTATTTTAGATATATTATTATCTCTTAAATGGGTTCCATATAAATAATATTCATTTTTATTTTTAATATCTTTAAGATTTGATGATTTTTCTATTAACTCATTATTTATATTATCAAAAAAATCTAATTCCTTTCTTTTTTTTATATTAAAACTACTCAATGTACTTAAAAAATCATTTTCTTCTTCTTTATTCGTATAAAGTTCAGACATATTATAGGTCTCCAGATTTCTAGTATAAATATTTTTTTCTTTTGGTTTGCTTTCATAATTTTCATTAGATAATTTCGTTTTATTATATATATTTGTGTTATTAAAATGTAAAGATTTACTTAAATAACTTTTTGATAAATTTTTTTTAATATTATCTACTGTATCAGTATAATTAGATTTTATTTCACTTTTATTTTTAATCATTCTTGTACAATCATTTTTATTATATAAGCTCATACTATCTTTGTAATTTTTATTTTTTCTTTCTGTAAAAATATTTCTACTATTATATAAATTATTATTACTCTTTTTTAATATTTCTATTTCATTATTAACTTGTTTACTTAAAGCACCCCCATATGTATGATTTTCTTTTGTATCTTTTTCTATCCACATTCTACTTTTTTTTTTTTTTTTTTTTTATTGAAGTATAATTTATTTCAAAAAATTATTTAATATGTTCAATCCTTTATCTATTTCTTGATTCTATATATTTGTTGTAACTTTTTCTTCACTTTTTTTTTTTTTTTTTTTTTAAACCAGTTAAATATATAAAAAGAAATAATAATTCTAGTAATTTGACTTAAAAAAACAATAAAAAAAAATTAGTTTTTTTTCTTTTTATTTTTTTTAAATAAAAATAATTATATATAAAAAAAAAAAGGAAATTTTAATAAAAAGTACCAAAAAAACTATAATCTACAAAAAAAATTATAACCTTCAAAAAACGAAAGTGAGATTTTTATAAAATTATATCTAATTACAAACTAAATTTTAAAACATAAAATTTAATTTACAAAATATATAACAAAAAATAAAATAAAATAAAATAATAATAATGAATTGATAAGAATATAAAAAAATTTGTAAAAAAAATTAGGACAAAAATAAAAGTATACATTTATAATTTTTTCTAAAAAAAAAAAAAATTTACATAAAAATAATCTTCAAAAAATTAAGCATTTTGTTTTTAATTCTTCTATGAAACAAGATAAATTAAAAGAAAAAATAAATAGGAATATAGTATTATGATATATATTAACAAAATAATTACATATATAGACAACTTTACAAAATTAAAACAGAATTTTTTTCTATTATAATTTACAAGAAAAAAATGTTTTATATATTAATAGAAACAATTTAATTTTATAAAAGTTATTAAATTATTCTATTTTTATTCATTTTATTTTAATTTCATTTATTTTTTCTTTTTTACTAAATCATTAAATACATAATGTCATACATCTAAGAAATTTCTGTATATACACATTTTTTAAATATAAAAATATGGTTTTATTTATACTTTTTTATATATTTTTTTTTTCCTTATACACACTTATTATTTTATTTAGTAATTAAAAAAAAAAAAAAAAATAAAATAAAATTGTTATTTCAATTTAAAAATAAAATGAAACACAAACAAAAATACTCTATTTAATTTACATTATCCTTCAAAAAAAACTAAAAAAAAAAGAAAATTTTTTGTATTAATATAGTATTAACATTACAAACTTAAATATTATCAACATCAACATAAGAATTATTAATTTAATCTGATAGTATGCAAAAAGTATTTGAAGAAGTTTTTATTTAAATTTATGTATTATTTTATTTATTTATTTATTTTTTTTTTTTTTTTTTTTTTTTTTTTTTCATTAGAATAAATTTTATATTTTTGAAAATTATAATAATTTTAAATATACTAATATAAAATTTTAGAATAAAAAAATTAAATGAAGTTTAAAGAATTATTATAATATCTAATTAAATATATGTATATATATATATATTAAATAATTTCAAATAAAAAATAAATTTTTTTTTTTTTTTCATATTTCTTCTTTTGCTATTTTATTTTTACAAAATAATAATATGTTTACATTTGGCTATCTTTAAATTGTCTTGTGGATTTTTCTCAAATTTTTTTTTTTTTTTTTTTTTTAATGAAAAGTTAGAAATAATGTATTTAAAAATAAATTAATATATTTTATATATTTACTTAAAAAAGAAAAAAGTTAAAAGTTTATACAAAAAGAAATTATCAAAATTGTAAATATTTAAGTGATGTTTACAGTTTCTAAAAAAAATTCAGAAGATTGTATTTTCTGCCGTATTACTGGTACTATAATATTTGGAAGTGTATCATTTTATTCTTTTTTAAAATTTTTGCAAGCTGAAAAAAAAAGTGGTGACAAAAGATTTTTTGGTTTTATTTCCATTTGTTTCAGTTTTTTAGCTTTATATAGAGCTACAAATCCAGCGAAATCTCTTTTAAATAAGGAAAATAAAAATGTTAAATAATAGAAGTGAGAATTTTAATTTCAATGAATCAAAAAATAACAATGAAAATAATACTAGTGAGAACTTAAATAATTTCTGTAAATCCTTTAATAGTTCAATACCATTAGAAAAAAATAAAAAAAATACTATTCCACTTAATATCAATGATACTTTTAATTCAGAATCAAAAGGAGATAACTTAGAAATTTATGTTGAAAATATGCTTAACGAATTAAAAAATAAAATGCAAAATCTATCAAATAACTTATTAAGTAAAGTAGATAATATGGAAAAATCTTTAGAAGACTTAGAAAACATAATGATTGATTTTACAAATAAAAACAATTAAATAATTTAAAAAAGAAAATTTTTTTTTTTTTAATATCTTACAATTTTTATATTTATTAAAATTTCCTTAATAAAATATCTTTTCAGCACGTGAAATTTACAAAAAAATATTTTCTATTAAAGACTATTTTATTTTATTTTATTTTTTTTTTTTTTCAACTTTTTTAAAATTGTGTGAATAATTTTTATATGATGAAATTATAAAATGAAAAAAAAATTTTTTTTATTTTTTTTTTTTATATTGTAATAAAAATAAAGCTTATAATTTTTAGTATACTTTTTGTTTTTACATTTTTATGAATTTTAGCAAAATTTAATATAACAAAATGCTAATTATATAAATATAAAATATAGAAAATTAAATTTTAAATTAAAAAAATTACACTTTTATTTATTTCATCAAAAAAATAATTTACGATATAACTGTAAAAAAAAAATAACTTTTTTTTTTTTTTTTTTTGAGTATTTTCCTTAATTTTGTAGTTTTAGTGTGTATATTTTTTTATATGTAATTTTGTGACTTTTTTTTTTTTTTTTTTTTTTTTTTTTTTGTTTCTTATCTAAATATAATATTTATATGATATTAATATTCTCATTTTTAAAATTTTCTTTTTTAAATATATATATATATATATACTTTTTTATTTTCATTAAATTTAATGAAATTTTCAAAATACTATATAAAAATATATATTGTTAATAAAAAAATATGTGTTATATATATATATAGTTTATTGTATATATTACTTCTTTAATTTTAATTTTTAAAATTCTAACATATATGTTTTGAAGAATAAAATTAAGAAAATTTTGATATGGATTATTTAATTTCCTTCCGTTTTTTTGATAATTTTTTAATGAGCAACAATTATTAAAATATAAATAAAAATATATTTGAAAAAATAAAATAAGACAATTTCTTCATGAATTAATAATCTTTATTTTTTTTTAAAAAATATATTACTAATTTAATTCTAAAATTTTTCATTATTATTATAAAATTATATATATATATATTTTTTTTTTTTTATTATTTTTTTTTTTTTTTTTTTTTTTTTTGTAATAATTATGAATAAACGTATATTTACTTTAAGAGATGACACACGTTCTAAAGAAGCTGATGAATTTGTTCGTAAAAATGGGTTTACATTACCACTTCAGTTTTTTCAATTAATGTCTTTTTTAATTTACATAGTAATAATTGCATTGATTATTTTAATTACAGCATTTAACACAGATACTATATTTATACTTTTTTATATTTTTTTTGGTTTTCTAATAATTACAATATTTGTGTTATCTTATACTGTAACAAAAATAAATCCAATTGATCCATTATCATTTAAATATATTAATAATAAAATAAATGATGAAGATGTTAAGGATTTATGTCATTGTGATATTTGTGGATTTGTAGAACCAAAAAGTAAACACTGTAAAGTATGCAACAAATGTGTTTCTGTTTTTGATCATCATTGTATGTGGGTTAATAATTGTATAGGAAAAAAAAATTATAAGTAAAAAAAAAAAAATGTACATATATATATATATATATAGATATAGATATAGATATATATAGAAAATTGAATAATTTATGTTTTCTTTTTCAGTAGTGATATACATTTATTACATACAAATAATTATATTTTTATGTAATCAAAAAAATAATTTCATTATAAAAGGTTATTAAGAAAAATAAATTTTCATAATTTAGGTATTTTGTAGGACTATTAACAGTTTTAACTATTTTTAATTGTTTTGTTTTTGTGTTTTGTATTGTTTATTTTATTAACTCTCTAAAGTACGACTTCATAAAAGACAGATGGAAGAATGTAACAAAAAAAAAAAAAAAAAATAAAATAAACTTTTTTTTTGCTTATATAAAAAAAATTTCTAAAAATAAATATTCTTTTTTTATTTTTAGTCATATGGATCTTATAATGATATATTATTTTATATCTTGCTATGTTCACTTTTTATATTGAACGGAACAGTTTTTATTTTAGTCATACAACTTTTTGCATTACACATCTTTTTGATTTCAAAAAAAATGACAACTTACGAATATATCCTTAATAGGGCAAATGAAGTATTTAAAAAATTACATCTTTTTATATATATATATATTTATATAAACATTTATAATATAAATATGTTATTTTTTAGTCTGAAAAGAAAGAAAAAAAAACAGTTAAAACCTTTTTTGAATGGATAATTATAGATAAAAAGTATACATATAAAAAAGAAAAAAAAAATAAAATAAAAAATGTTTCACTTTGAAAAAATAATAATAAATCTTATATATATATATATAATTAATCAAAATATATTTTTTTTTTTTTTTTTTTTACATTTGTAGACGTTTGAAAAAATCGAAAAATAAAAATCAGGTATAATAATTTAATAAAATTTTTTTATTTTTTATATTATTTATTATTTTTTTTTTTTTTAATTAAATGTCAAATATAAAAAATTCAATTAATTTAATTGTTTATAGGATATAGAAAATCAAGAAATTGAAAGAGATATGACTATAAAAAATTATTAACAAAAAAAAAAAAAAAAAAAAAAAAAAAAAATTAAANTAAAAAAAAAAAAAAAAAAAAAAAAAAAAACTTAAGTATATATAAAATTCATTGATTTTTATATTTTAAAAGATTTATATATATATATATAGTATAAAGAATAAAAAATATAAAACACAAGAATATATATATATATATATATATGTATTTTTTTTTAATTAAATTTGCAAATGAATTATTTAAACTCTTGTAGTTGTAAATCATTTGCTTGTTTTATAACTTCCTTCCCATAATCTTTGTCTTTAATTTTTGTTTCTATAAAACTTAATCTTTTTGTTAAATTATCTAAAACAGTTGATATAGTGTCATTTTTTGTAGTTATAATTTCATTTTGTAACTTTAACTTTTTATTTTCTTCTATTAACTTTAAATTACTTGAATTTGAATTTGAATTTTCTAAATCTTTTAAATTTGCAATTTCATCTTTTAATTCATCAACATATTCTTTATATAATTTTGTTTGTTCATTTATTTGTGCTTGTAAACGTTTAATAATATTTACATTTTTTAAATTTAATTCTCTTTCTTTTTCAGTTACATCCATTAAATTTTTATTTATATTTTCGAGGTTTTTTAATTTGTCTAATAATTTTTTTTGTTCATCATTTTTTAAATACTCATTTTCATTGATAAGTTCATCATATTTATTCTGCAAGACAAGTATCTCATCTTTAATATGGGTAATATTTTCATTCAATTTTTTGTTTTCATCACTCAATTCTTTGTTTTCATTACTCAATCTTTTGTTTTCATCACTCAATTCTTTATTATCAAATTCATCATTCACATTTAAGTTTTCAAAGCGTTCATTTAGCTCCTTTTCCTTATTTAAACTTTCTAATAATTCTTTATTTTTATTTTTAAGTTCATTAAAATCGTTCATTAATTTTTCATAATCTTCTTTCATCTCCTTTTCTCTAATTTCATAATTTTTTTTTATTTGCATCATTTTTTCCTCATTTTCTTTTGTTGATAAACTAGATTGATTTTCTAATTGCTTTTTTATTTTTTCATTATTCTCTAATAAATTTTCATAATTTTTTAATAAATCTTTTTTTTCGTTATCAAAATCTTCTTTCTTCCTATCAAATTCTTCATTCAATTCTTTTATTCTTTTTTCAACAATTTCTTCCGTTTGATTTTCAAGTATCTTAATCATATCTTCATATTCACCTATTTTTTGTATATTTTCTTCATATTTTTTTGTTAAATCCTTGTTATTTGAATTTGCTTTTTCTAATAAATCATCATATTCCTTTTTTCTAACTTTATACTCTTCATTTATTTGCTCATATAATTTAATATAATTATCAACCTTCTTTTCTGATTCATTTCTTATTCTTTCAATTTCTTCTTCTAATATCTCTGCAAATTTTTCTCTAATTTCTTCTGACTAAAAACAAAATAAAAAGAGTATATATTAAAAGGTAATAATTATATATATGAGTTTAAATAAGTTACATATACATAATAAAATCAGATTAAAAATTTTTTTTTTTTTTTAATTTTAATAAAAACAAATATTTGAATATATAAAATTAAATAATATACATATGAATTAAATAAGACATATATATATATAACCTCTTTTGAATGTTCTTCTATGATTTTTTCCATTTCTTTCTCTAATTTTGAATTCTTCTCATTTAATATTATTATATTTTTTTTATATATATCATCATTATTTTTCAAATTATCTTCTAAATTCTTATTTCTATTTAAAATATTTATTTTTTCTTCATTTAATAATGATAGATTTATTTCCAATTCTTTTTTTTGCTTAATTAATAGTTTTGTTTCAATATCTAATTTATCAATTTTATCATTTAGAATTTTTATTTCTTTACTTTTCTCTAGTTCTATATTTTCTCTTAATTCTTGTTTTTGCTCATTTAACATTCTTTCTAGTTCATTTTTTTGCAAAATTAACTTTTCCTCATATATAAGAATTAATCTTTTTTCTTCATCTTTTAATTTTTCATAATTATCTTTTTCTTTTTCATCAATAATCTGCTGTATTTTAATCTCGTAATTATTATTTAATTCTTCTTTCAATTTATTTATTTCTTCATTATAATTACTTTCCAATTGTTTCTTAACATTTTCAATATCTCTATTCTTATCATTTATTAGTTTTTTCTCCATATTTTTTAAATCTTCATTTTTTAAATTTAATTCATTCATCAATGATTCAATTTCTTTATTTTTATTTAATTCATATTCCTCTTTTATGCTCTCAATTTTTTTACTTTCTTCTTCACGTATATTTCTTGTAATTTGTTCTATATTTTCATTTATGATTTTATTACTTTCCTCTTTTAATCTTAAAATTTCTTCATTTTTTATTTGTTCCATATTAAATTTTAATGTTTCTAATTCATTATTTTTTTCAATAATTAAATTATTTATAAATTCATTTTTGCTTTTTTCTATTTTTTCTTTGTATTTTTCTAACTTTGAGTTAAAATTATTTTGAACTGATTCTTTTACTTTTGCTATTTCTTCTTTTTTTTCCTCTTCATATTTCGTTTTAAATTCTTCCTTAACCTTATTTATTTCTTTTTCTAAGGTATTTTTCATAATTTCACATTTTTGTTTTTCTAAATTTTCAATTTCTTTTTTTTTTTTTTTTTCAAATTCTTCTTTTAAAATAGAAATTTCTTTTTTCGTTTCTAATTCAATTTTTTTTAATTCCTCTTTTAATAATATTTCTTGTTTTTTTAAATTTTCTAAATTTTTCTGATTATTCATTTTTTCCATTTTTAAACATTTTTCTTTTTTTAAAATTAGTTCTTTATACTGCTTTTCCTTATTTTTAAATATGTTATTTTTTTTTATTTGCTTTTCTTCTAATTCTTTTATGGCTTCTAAGAATTTACTTTCTCTACTTTTATAAATAGAAATAATTTCCTCATTTTTAATTTTTAATTTTTTCAAATTGTTGAATGAATTAATGAACCCTTCTATTTCATTTTTAATTTTTTTGTTTTTAATATTTATAACATATAAAATGTTGTTAAGCTCATTTTCATGTATGTCCATTTTGTCTTTTATATATATATTATTTTCTTCCTCTTCATTTTTTAATTCATTTAATTTATTATATAGGATTTCTAAAGAATCTCTTTTTTCTGTGAAAAACAAATTAATTTTTTCTATCTCTGATTTTATAAGGCTACTAAAGTTATCCCCCATATTTAAACTCTCTCTTAACTTAATAATAAAATAATTAATTAACTCTTTTTCTTTTTTAATGTTATTCATATTTTCCTCATTATAAAGAGAAAAATTATTTTTAATATCTTCACTATTATTAATTGCATTTAAATCATTTTTTACTAAATTATCTTCATTAATTATTTCTATGCTTCTATTTTTATCCACTATCTCTTTCTGATTTATATTAAAATGCATATTTTCTTTTTTTTCCTTAATTTCTATTTTATCTATATGTGTAATTTTTGATGATATTTCATTATCTTCTGTATTTGTATCATGTTGATTGCTAAAATTCGAAATAGTATTTTTGCTTTCTTCATGATCTGCGTGATCAATGCTATTTTTTGATATATTTTTTTGTGGTGAAGTTACATCATTATATATATAATTGCTTGCATTACTTTTTTCTTTTAAACATTTATTATTTTTATTAAAAATTTCAATATTATTCATATTATTCTCATTGTCTTTAATATTTAAATTAGAAATGTTGCTTATTTCTTTAGAATTTTTTTTTAATTCACACAAGTTACCATTTACACTTTCAAAACTTCTATTTTCTTCTTTTAGATTAATTGCTTCTTCGTTATTACCAATTTCATTCGGAGTATCATTATTAATTAAATTTTCTAAGCTATTTTTTTTTTCATTTTTTTTGTTATATAAATGATTTTGATCAGAATCTATCACTGGATATTCTTTATCTAAATTATTGATATTTTTCTTATGCATATATTCAGATAAAAATTCATTATTAATATTTTTCTTTATGTTCTGTTTTTTTAGTAACACATCTTTTTCGTTAAACTCTTTTAATACCAATTCTTGATTCTTCTCTTTTTTTTTATCACCCATTTTTGATTCTTCTTCTTTTTTCTCTTCTTTTTTTTCCTTTCGCTCTTTCTCTTTTTTTTTTTTTTTTTCTTCATTTTGTTCATCTATATTCATTTTAGATTTATCTACCAACTTATTTTCTGAATTATTATTATTAGGTAAATATGAATTAGAATCATTTGATTCTTTTTTCTTTTCTTCCTGAATATTACTTTCTGTTTCATTATCATCTATAGACTTCATATATGGAGATATCAACCCACCTTGAACTAAATTATTTTTTTTAATTGTTTTTAATCCGGGTGTTTCAGCATAAATAGTTAAAGCACTTCTTGTTTTCCTTTCAAAGAGAAAAAAAAAATAAAAATCAAAAAAATATGATATAAAATTACATCAAATATAAGCTATAATGAATAATAAAAAAGAAGTAGAATGAAAATAAAAATTCCATTAAAATAAAAAATTACTTTTGTTGAACTAAAGAACGATAACAATAATTAGGATTCTGTAAATTATTCATTTTGGGAGGTGCGGACAACTTTTCTTCATCATTAATTTTATCTTCTTCACCTTTAATAACCCATCTATTTAATTCTTTATTATAATAAAATTTATTATCTTCACCTAAATGAGCTTTCGTTGGTTTTGTATCATCATCGTTATCTTTTTTTTGTTTTATGAAATTCCAAAAAGAACCTTGAATTTTTAAAAAATTAAATGTAATATATGTATTTACTTGTAAAATTAATGTATATAAAAAAAAAAAATAATTATTTTTAAATGATATTTTATATAATCAAAGTGCATTTGTTTAAATAATTTTTTCTCTTTTAATAAACATTTATTACTTTTCATTTCTTTTCTTAGAATTTTTATCTTTTATGATAACAAAAAATAAAAGGAATAAGAAAAAGTTATGTGAAATTACAGGAAATGAAATAAGAAAAAACAAATGATACTGTTTTTTTAAATAAAAAAAATACAGCTAAATATCTTCAAATTATGTAAAAAATTATATACATAAGTAAAATTTTTTTTTTTTTTTTTTTATTGCTAAATAATAAAAATAAAAACTTTTAATTTTTGAAAAAAAAAATTACATAATACTCTAACGAAATCCTATAATTTTTATGAAATTCTATCTAAAATGTAAAAAAAAAAATCAACCAAATATTCAGGAAAAAGAAAAATGCAACAAAAATATATTTTTTTTTATTTCTTTTTTTATTATCCTTATTCTCTCAGAATTTTAATATATATATTTTTTTTTAACTTTCCATATTTTGTAACTCCTTTATTTTTTTATTTTTCCATTTAAATAATCTAATTTATTTTACTATATTAATTCATTTATATTACACACAAATGCATAATTGTAGATTTATTATTATAAATTATTTATATTATACTTAAAAATATTATATTGTTACATTTAAAAAAAAAAAAAAATAAAACAAAAATAAAGATAAAATATAATCAAATAAAAGTATATTAATAAGATAATTTTTTTTTTTTTTTTTTTTTTTTCTTTTATTTAAAAATAATAATATTTAAAAAAATAAAAAATATTTTTTATTTGAGTTGGCATAATTGATAATGAATAACCATTTTTATCCTGTTCATAATAACGTACCCAATAAGAAATTTTTTTATTACATCTTTTTATTGTCCAAATTTCATCACATAAAATTTTACTATTAGATATTTTAAAATTTTCATAACCTTTAATTTTCTTTATTTTTTCTAAAACTCTATCTTCTTTGCATTCATTCATAGCCATTACTTCAATATTTTGTATCTTTTATGAAAAAAAAAAAAAAAAAAAAATGTGATAAAATAATCGTATAATTGGAAACTTGTATTCTTAAGGTAGTTTGTTAAAAAATAAATATATTAGTTAATAAAATTATCTAATAAATAAAACGTTTAATTTAATATATTTTCAAAATTTTTATATATCTCCTATTAGTTTTTTTTTTAAATTTTAATACAAATGAAATTAAACATTATACATATACACACAAAAAAAAAAAAAAAAAAAAAAAAAAAAAAATAGAAATACATTTCATGTTTTTTTAATAAATACAGTTATACAACTTATTATAATTATAAAAAAGACATCGGAAAAATACAATTTAAAAAAATAAAAGCTCTTTTTCTTTTTTTTTTAATATATTTTGTATTTTACTTTATATATAGCTTGCCGAAATAATGCAGATTTTATTTGATCTATTACATGCTTAACCTTTTCTTCAAAATTAATTGTATGTTCATAATATCTTAAAAAATCTGGACGAAATTGTACATTAAAAAATTCGTCTGGATATTTCATATTTGTTCCATTTTGTTTCATCCATTTTTTATCTCTAAAACATGGAAATGTAAACATATTAAATTTAATAAAAAGAACAAAAAAATAATATAAATTATATTCTTTAAATATTTTTTTATAATCAAATATTACTGTAATTCTTAATTTAACAAAAAAAAAAAAAAAAAAAAAAAAAAAAAAAAAAAAAAAGCTTTTTCCAAAGAGAAAGTAATTAAGGAAAAAAAAAGAAAAAAATTTAAAAAAAAAATAAAATGAACGAAAAAAACTGAAAAAAAATTTTTTTTAAAACGTAACATAAAAAAAGGATAATCAAATTGATAAAAGAAAAAAAAAAAAATGTAAAAATTTTATTTTTAGAATTTTTATTAGCACGTTTACGTGTAAATATATATTATTTTTCAATGAAAATTTTATTAATTCATATTTTTAAGAAATTTGTTTACACTAAATCATTTTCATTAATTTTTTCAATCAACACATATATTAGATAGATCAAAAAAAAAAAAAAAAAATGAATAATTTTAATCCCTTTTTTATTTTTCATTATAGAAATTTATATTGACAAAAAATGGATAAAGAGGAAAATGTATTCTTTGTGTTGCTGTTGATGAATTTTTATTCTGACATATTTCTTTAATAATTTTATCTTCAGAAAATACAAGTAACGATAAAATGTTATTTGGTAAACTGTAAGAATATGTGTTATTTTTATATAATACATAATTATTAGAAAAAATACAATTTTCGCTGTTACACAAAACTTTTACATTATATTCAAAATAATAATATAAAAAGTCTCCTTTTATTTTATGATCATAACATGACGGTTTATTTAAAGTTTTCATTTGTACTTCTAATAGAAATAAACAGTGTTTTCTACTTATACACTCATATAAAATATTGGAAATTGTTTTTTTTAAAATTTTTTCAACAAATTCATTTCTCCTACCTACATAATCAGAAATCCATATCTTTTTAGTTGTTCCTTTATTTTGGTTGCATATAAAATCTTTCAACTGATTTGATTTTAATAAAAAAATATTGTGAATATTTTTTTTATCATCATGATATACTGCTATTTCAAAAAAAAAATTACTTTGTGCGTTAACAGAAGTAAATGTGTTTTCAACTTTATCATAATCATTCCACTCCCCTTTTAAAAAATATTTATTTTCACTTTGGCAATTTTTTGCATTATTTTTTTTGAAGTTTAAAATATTGAATTCATATAAAATATCTAAAAAAGTTATATCAGAAACCACCCTATTTTCATCAATTATCATTTCAAATATATTTTTATTAAACCATGAAAAAACATTAGAATTATTCACATTCTTACTTTTGTCAAAGTTTATAAAATTTATAAAATTAGAAATATATATTATATTATTCTCCTTTATATCTCTAATAGGAATAAAGGTATTTTTCTCTACAAATGTATTATTATTTTCTTTTTTAAAGGGGTTATAATTTTTTAATGGAGATTTGTAAACTTTATCATTACTATTTTTGGAATTAATGCTTTCCTTTTTTAAATCACATTTATATTTTTCACAACTATTTGCTATTTTTTCTTCGTCAATTGAAATATTTATTCTCATAATTTTTTTTTTATTATTTATATTGGTTTCTTTTAATTCCATATTATTCTCTTTTTTAATATTAAAAATCATTTGAGGTGTATTATCTCTACAGTTTCTTTTTAAAGGCCACTTATTAGAACAAAAATTATTATGCAATTTTTTTTCATTATTTGAATGATGTAAATTATATGAATCATTAAAAGGAACACAACTTGAATATATACTATTTTTCCTTTCTTCTTCATTCATGCTCTTATTACTTAAATCATCTAAATTTTTATTTTTCTCGTTATCATTAATATCTTTATAATTATTTACATTTTCGTAATCTGTGTGATTTTGGCTATTAAACTGAATACTGTCAATATATTCATTGTAAGTATTACTACGATAATTATTTATATAATCTAAATTATTGTATTTATTACTTACATATAATTTATTCATAAGTATAGCATTATTATTATGATCATTATTACACATATTAATATTATTTTTTAATAAATCACTGTTATTGATAGATGTGCTATTGTAATATCTATCACACATATTATTTTTATTATTCATATGATCGTAATAAACATCATTATCAATACTTTTATCCATAAAACTGCTTCTATGTTCTTGTATAAATATATCTTTTTCAATATTATTTTCCCTATTTAAAAAATTATTATATTTATTAATATTATCAATATTATCTAATCTTATATTATGGTCTTTTTTAATATCTTTTTTGTTGTTGCTACTATTTTCTCCTTCATTAGAATATTTTTTCTTTAATTCACAATTTATCTGCTTATAATAATTTATTTCATCAGAATAAAATAAATTACTATAACTCTTTAAACGACAATACTTACTATGATCTTTTATTAGAGATACATTTTTTGGATCATGATAGTTATTATTTTTCAAATAATCATAAATAAATCTGAAAAAATAACAGTTCATCAAATTAAAAGAAAACGGATTTAAAAAAAAATTCTTATTAAAAGGATGTTTATGTGATTTCTCAAAAAGAAATCCTTTTATATTATGCATATTACTAATTGTGTTGTATTTAAAATTTATGTAGTTACAAGTAATTGTTTTATTAAGATGTATATTATCAACCTTTCTATCCTTATTTTTCTGAGTAAATTCAGAAAATAAATTTTTATAACCAATTTTATGTAAATTACAAAATTTATCATTTCTAAAAAAAAGGTAAATATATTTATAGAAAAATTGATTTAAAGTATTAAAATTTATTTCTTTTATGTGATTGATATAAATATTATAATTTTTTATCTTTTTGTAGTATTCATTATTTTTAATTTTTTCATTTTTTAAATCACTATTTTCACTATTATTGTATTTTTCATCTAGAGCATATTTTTGTTCCTCTTTATTATTTCTGCAATTATTAGATACATTATTATTATATTTATCTTTTTCATATTCATCGTAATACATATTTATATTATTAATTTTTCTTTTTAATATTTCCTTTTGTTTTTTTATGAAAAAGTCACTCTCTTTTTGTATTTCTAATAAAATTAAATTTACTAATTTAGATGATGGCCTACTTTTAATATTGGGGTTTAAGCATAAAAAAGATAATTTTGTTAATTTCTCAACTAAAAAATCAGGAAAATTAACACTATAATCTAAAACAGAATAAATGGATTTATAATCGTTCATATTTATATGATTTACTAAATAATCGAATACATTTTCATCAGTTTCACTTTTTTGTTTGTTGCAATATATAGGACATTTCTCATTTTTATTATAAATACAATTGTAGTTCTTTCCTACATGAATAGCTGGAGATTTTGAAACTAGCATTTCTAATATCAATGCCCCAAAAGAATATATTTCTGTCTGTTCATTTATTTCATGAGTGGATATATAATACGGATCTGCATATCCAGGGGTACCTATATAAAAAGTATATATTTATAACAAAAATGTTTTATATATTTTTATACATATATATTTATATGTATTTTCATTTTTTACCTCCAGTCAAATTAAATATATTGTTGTTATTTACATAAACAAATGAGAGACCAAAATCTCCTAGTTTAGCATTAAACTTTTCATCTATTAAAATATTTGCGGATTTTAAATCTCTATGATATACGATAGGAGAAGATGTATGTAAATAACATAACACATTTATTATTTGAACTAAAATATTTACTCTAACACTAAAAGATAAAAACATAGGATTGTGATTTTCAAATGTGTTACTTTGAAATCCAAAATTTTTAAAAGAACTTGGACTTAAAAAATTATTTAGTTTATAAGATAAAAAACAATTATTTGAATGACTAGAATATTGATTTTTAGGAGTAAATTTATCGTCAAATATTGCATTTGAATAACTTGTTTCTAAATTTTCTTTATTTTTAGAATTATAAAAATAATAATGATTAAATAAAAGAGTCCTTAAATCTCCTAAATTAGCGTATTCATAAATTAAATAAAAATTATTTTTATTCATTGCATAACCTAATAAAGATAAAATATTTTTATGTCTATATCTACTCATAATTATAATTTCATTTTCAAAACCATTGTTTTCATTTTTTTTCAAGACTTTTATTGCAACATTAATACAGCCTTTTAATATTCCTTTATACACAGTTCCATTTCCACCTTTGGCAATTTTATTTTCATCAGAAAAATTATTTGTTGCTTCAACTAAATCATCGTAGTTATATCTGTTAGATAATATTTTTAAAGGAATATATATGTTTTCCTCATTTTTACTTTTTAATTTAGATTCACTTTTTTTATAAGTTATGTCATCCTTTTCTTCTTCGTTAATGTCTTCTTTACAACTATTGCTTTCTTCATCATGTATATTTAAAATATATTTATCATAAGTATCAAATGTTTCTATATATATAAATTTTCTATCACTGTTATTATTTTCTTCAATCTTTACATTTTCCTCTTTTTTATTATGATAATTCTTTGATAAACTGAATCTTAAATATTCTTGCTTTTTTTTTTCTATTTTTTGTTTAAATACATCAATTGCACCTTTTTCAATATTTGTTTCTTTTAAAGGATAATACTTTTTGTTCATTTTAAAAAAAAAAAAAAAAAAAACTAAAACAAAATTTTATAAGGAATAATAAGATAACGAAACAAAAAAAAACTGAGAAGTATAAGAACAAAAATAGAAATTGTAATATAAACAAAAAAAAAAAAAAAAATACAGAAACAAGTAGAAAAAATAGAATAATAGGAATGTGTGTAATATAAGAACGACAATGAAAAAAAAATATTATGATATAAAAAAATTATATAATCGAGGAGAAATAAAATACATAATAATAATTTAAATATATATATAAGAAAAATAAAGGAATGTTTAAAACAAAAAAGAAAAATTCATATAAAATAAGAATTTAAAAATTAAAATTATATGTATTATCATTATTCAAAATTCATATAATATTTTATTTAATTTATCCTAATTTTAATTATTTACTATGTTTATATTTTTCACTGATTTAATTCGAAACTATTGAATTACACATATGTTTACTATTTATCAATTTATATTGTATTAAAATATATGCCAAGTTAAATATTACTATTTTTTTGTAATAATTAATTTTTATTTCAAATTATTTAATCTAATTTACTTTTTTTTTTTTTTTTTTTTTTTTTTGTTGTCTAGTAACCATTTCCTAAAACATGTTGCATTAATATATGCTATTAGAAAAATTACTTTCCTAATTTATCTCTTTTTTTATTTCATTTTTCTTTTTTTTTTTTTTTGTAATAATAATATTGTCTTTATTGTCTTAAATTTTTACTTTGTTACAAAGAATATTTTGTTATTTTATTTTTATCTTCTTTTTTATTTCGTAATATAAATTTTTCCTAAAATTTTGCATTGATTTGAATACCAAAGACAAAGAAATTAATCCATATTTGTTGCACGATTCACTTTATAGTGTTTTTTTTTTTTTTTTTTTTACATTAAAAAAAAATGTATGAAAAGAAAAATATTAAGAAAAAAAAAATAAAATAAATAAATTAATAAACCATATATATTGACAATTACGATTATTTTAAGATTATCTTAAAATTTATTAAAAAATTAATATTTTTTCGATTTCATTAGGAATAAGAATGAATTATCTTCCAAAGAATTATGAACATAAAAGAATACAAAAAGAATAACCTATTTTAACATATTTTAACTTATTATTTCAAAAGGATTAATAAATATATAATATTTTAAGTTGTTTTTCTTCAATGATATAATTATATAACTTGTTTATATATAGTATTTATTAATTTTTTTATTTCCTAAAATAAGAAACCATTGCATGCATTTTTTAAAAATTCGACTAATTTATGCATGTGCGATTTTAACAAAATAAATACGTTACACATTTTACTTATTTAAATGGTTCTCATATTTTGGAATATTTTAGACATATAAATTTAGTTTGATTCTATACTTTTTATTTTATACACCAATATTACATATAATTAAAAATACAGGTTATTAATTATTCAAAAATATATGAGTGACATGCTAATAATATATGAAAAACTTAATGAATTGTTTTTTTTATTTATAAATTATATTAAAAAAAAAACTAAAAATATTAATAATAAAACCATATTTATTTCAAAAAAAAGAAGAGATTTTTATGTTTGGAAAGTTATGAAAAGTTTATTATTATATATCAAATACAACATTCCTTAGTATTTCATATTCATATAAATCTTTTGTTTCTACTATTATTATTACATTATATATTTAATTAAATTGGATGAAATTTAAAAACAATTAATGTTACATATTTAGATATTTGAAAACATAAAAAAGTTCTTTTTTTATATATTAAGTATTTTTCTTATATATAAAATATCTCAATAAAAAATAAGAGTTTATAATTCTTTGTTGTTTTTATTTTTATTTAGGTAAGAACTTTTCAATTTTAATAAAATATTTAAACTTGAGTATGTATATTTTTTTCAGTGAAAATAATCACACATAAAAAAACACATTTCTCACTGAATAAAAAAAAAATTTACTTTTATAAATATATATATATATATATGATTTAATGAAATTTACTTAATTATCTAAATTTTAACTTTTTAATACTGTTATTATAAAACAGTTATAATACTATCCAAAATATGTAATAACTGTAATTTAAAAAAAAAAAAAAATGAATATTAACTTAAGAATGATTTTTTTTTTTTTTTATGTTTTGAAACTGTAAAATATTTTATAAATTATTCAAATTTATAAAATTAAATGAATTATTATGAAATGTAATTTCTTTTTTTTTGTTTAAGCAAAAGTTTCAATAAAATACAATGTTAATTATTCTCTTCTTATATTTAACGATCTCTTTATGTAAATACATAATTATTAAATATTAATATTAGATGAAAAAATTTTATTCATCATAAGAAGTATTAAATTTGTGTAAATTTACAATTATGCACACACTCAACAAAAAAAAAAAATACTTTTAGTTAAAAGGATATATTATAACACTAATATTAAAAAAATATCATTAAAATTAAATAATTTTAGAACAATATTTTTAATATTAATTAATAATAATAATTATAAAACTAAAAAAAATTGAAACAATTTTCTTCTATAGATAAAACTTGTAATTTAATATAACATTAATAATATCTTATCCTTAATACATAAATTAAAAAAAATAATTCTTAATTAGTTCATTATAATACATCCATTTTTCTATATTGTAATTTTAATTTTTTTTCTTTAAAGAATTATATATATAATTATGAAAAATTAATTAAATTATGAATATTTTGTAAGTATTATATCAATAAGTAATTTTTCTTAATCATAAAATATATAAAAGTTTCTTCAATGAAGAGAAAAACAAGTATATTAAAAGAGAGTAATATAAAGACATTCAATACTTGTTTTGATAATATAGATTTAAACTTGGCTTCTTTAAAAGATCAAAATTTAAAAAATGGACCAGAATTTTCTTTTTTTTACGAATATGCTCATGATAGGTCAATCCTCTCTCTTTCCTTAGATGAAAGTGGTAAAAAAAAAAAAGAGTAACAAAATATTAAGTTAATGGCAAACAAAAAAAATTTAATCTACTTTTATTTTACTTTTTTCTTTTTTAACAAAAATAGCGACCTTTTATGTATATATTTTAAAAATGTCTTATATAGCAAATGTCTTTAAAATATGTATTTGTATAGAAAAAAGCAATTTGTCTTTTTATTTATAATACTTAAATGCAAATTATTCTTTTAATTTTTTAAATAAATAAATGAATTTAAGTAAATTTCTGTATTTTTTTTTATATGGATTATATATTCATTTTATTCCATTTTATTTATTATTTTTCTATTTTTTTTTTTTTTTTAATAGGAACTTATATGGCAACAGCTAGTACAGACCACTCAATACGCGTACACAATATAAAAAATTTATCAACAATAAAAGAATTATATCATAAAAAGTGTGGTCATTATGATTGGGTAAATCAAGTGTTCTTTACTAAAAAAAATGAAATTCTTTCAGGTGGATTAGATGGAAAAATATGTTTATGGAATACTATCTATTTGTGTAAAATTCCTAAAGTTAATAAAATTATGAACAGTTCAGAATACTTAGAACAACAAAAAAAAGTTGAAGAAGTAAAATTTAAAGCTTCTAACAATGCAATTATTTGTAAAGAAATGTATGCGCATCATTCTACAATTAGTGATATGAAATTTGATAAAAAGAATGAAAAATGTATCACTAGTAGTTATGACAAAACATTAAAACTTTTTGACATCAAAAAATTTCGAGAAATGTCTATATACAAAGGTAGTCATTTTTACCCAATAACAAAATTTTTATGGTTACAAAACAAGATTATATCTGGAGACAAAAATGGAACGATATGCGTTTTTGACGTTGAATCTTGCCAAGAAATATTTAATGCGAAATGCACACACAATGGAAACATAGGGGCAATGAATTATTTTTATTTATATAAGAATGGTGATGAAAATTTCATTAAGAATTCTATTTTAAATAGAGAAAAAGAGAGAAATTTAAATTTACAAGGAAATCATTATAATGAAAAAAACAATTCAAAAAAAGATAGTGATAAACCTATTATTCAAAATAATATTAATACAATAAATTCAGATTATTTATTCGGTGAAGAAAACTGTTATTTAAATTTAAATAACGAAAAAATACCATTAATAGTAACAGGAGGTCAAAATGATGGTACAATAAAAGTAAGAGATTTTCGAATTTTTCATAAATATATAAGCTGCAAAAAAATACATACAGCCAGCATCAATTGTATTATAACTTATAATTTAAATTATAAAACTTATATTATTTCATGTTCAGCAGATGGTTTTTGTTATCAATTTGAGATTCAAAGCATATGTTCATCCAATTTGAATAATTACTTGAAAAAAATATGTGTTAATGAGCCAATTTTATCAGCAAAATATATTGGAAACCACTTAGTTTTGATTGGTTCTTCTTTTGGAAATTTATTTTTGTTAGATTTTTCTGATTGTTCAAATAATAAATTAACAGATCAACAAAAAAACTTAACTGGAAAAAATGATATAAATCAAAATATTAAAAATTTTGTTGAAAAACCAAATATATTATATGATAAAATTAATAGAGATATATTATGGGCTTTTGGTACTTGTAAAAAAGGAGGAATTAATTGTATAGAATGCATTTTTATTTATGATTCTAAAAATTTATACACAAATGAATTAGAAATTTATAGTATTATAGCAGCAGGTGATGATGGTGTACCAAGTTTTTTATTTATGCCGAACTCTTTTACATAAAGAAAATGTTTATGTACACTATTCAATTCTTATCTATTTTTCATTTCACCTCATTTTTTTTATATTATTATGTAATAGATTGTGTAAATTTATTTTTATAAAAATATAAAAACGTAAAAGAAATGTTAGAAATAAAAATCACAAAGCAAAAGCAAATTTTGTTATAGCTTAAAAAAAATAAAATGTATTATATAAATTTTAAATGTTACAAAGAGTTTTAAAATATAAAGAAAAATATATATTTATGATTTGGGTACTTTATTAAATTGATAAAAATATTTTTGTAGTTTTTCATCTTCTTCTTGTCTTACATGAAATATATTTGATAATTTTGGTATGCTAAATGTATCATGTAATAAATTATGTGGATTCAAAGGTTTACATAAATTATTTAAACATAAAAATAATGACAAAGAATTATAATTTTTTATGGATGGCAATAAATGAGTGCTCTTGTATATTTCATAAACATGATAATTTGCTAAAGAAAATTTTTTTAACTCAAAAAAACTTTCAAAATAAAATCTCAAATTATCAGTAAAATAATTTGAATAAATAGAATTCTTATATTTGTTTATCTCTTTTTCCTCTTTTTTTTCTTTTTTTAGTGTTTTATTTATATATTCAAAGGAATCTATCAATGTATGCTCGTTTTCTATTAAAAGTGAAATAAATTTTTCTATTTCTTTTTGTACACTCCTATTTGGTTTTTCATAAATAAAATTATTTTTCTTCATTAACTCATAATCTTTTTTAATAAAAGGAAATTGAGTTAAGGAATTCAAGGGTAACTCATAAAAATGCAAAAATGATTTACATAATCTTGAATTATTTAATAGAATTGTATTGTTTGAATTAATATTTTTTAGAAGTACATTTTTCTCATGAGACTCTCTTTTTAAATTTTCTTCATTTATATAAGTCATGAAATAAAAAAATAAATTAAAAGATCTAAATAAAAACATGTTAATTAAATTGCTTACTTCTATATTAGAATTTATTTTTTTGCATATATATTCATCACAAAGACAATCATTTTTAGATAATTCCTTATTAATTTTTTTTTTTTTTTTTAAAATATTATATAATATATTAAAAAAAATAGAATATTTATTAATTTCATTCCTCTTTATATTTTCTAATATGTTCTCATGCAATTTCTTTTTTATATCTTCATCATTACATAATAACCTTCTCAATGAAACAACAGATGGTTTATACTTCTGCAAAAAATATGAATAACGCATTAATTTTTCTTTTTTGTTTAATATATTCTGAATATAAACATAACTAATGTTATGTTTTTTTATGATAATTCCTATTTCATCATAGTTATCATTAGATTGAAGATATCTATTTATTTTTAATAATATTTTTTTAAAAAAATTTATATAATCCAAATCATGCTTAATAAAAATTAAATCGCCTGTATTTAAACTTAAATCAATTTCGTAATCTGTAGTATATCCCCATGCTTTCCCATAAAAATAATGTAGTGCTTCATTTTCATTTTCATCATTTATAAAGAGAGAATGCTTTTTTAATTTCTCATTATTTTCTTCATTTTTTATAATATTTTTATCAAAATTTTTTAAAAACAAACTTTTGTTTAATCTTTCATTTTCTCTAAATTTTCTTATTCTATTAATTTCATTAAAAAACAAAACACAAAAGGGAGATCCACATATAAATACTTTAAAGAAAAACGAACCACTTGGCATAATTCTTTAAAACGAAAAAAACAAAAAAAAAATATATATTTATTTCTCTTAAACAAAAATCATATTTTAAAAAAAATAAAATAAAATAATGGTCTTTAAAAAATTTTCTTTTTTCAAATACATTTTTCGAAATATTTTTTCAAAAAATTCGCTTTTTATATTTCAAAGGCTATTAAAAAAAAATTATATTTTTAGTAAACAAAATACATTTAACTTTAGAAAAACCAAAAATAATACTTTTTTCATTTATATTTCTTATGGTATTAAAATTAATCATAACTTTACAATAATTTTTCTTTTATTCATTAAATATTACATATCTTTATAACAGTTAATGGGGGGAAAAAAAAAAAAATCACTACTTAACACTTTTCTTTATAAATCATTATAACAACTTAACAAAATATAACAATAAAAAGGAAAATAAATAAAAAAAAAAAAAAAAAAAAAAAAATGAAAAAGTTAAAATGAAAAATTTATTAGAAAAATTTTCCACTATTATATAAAAATGAAAACGTAAATAAATATATAAAATAAATATTATCAAAATTTAAACTCTTCTGATAATAAAAAAATAAGAAAAGCTCGCGCTAAAACCCATTAACTAAATTAAGAAAATTATGATGATGTTTCTTCATTAGTATCATTTCCTTCTTCAGATGAATCTACATCTTCCTAAAAAAAAAAAAAAAAAAAAAAAAAAAATTTTAAATAATGAAATAATCAAATGAAAAAAATTAAAAAAATAACATAGAAATTCTTTTTTAATCATACATTTTTTGGTTCACTTGGTCCTATTTTGAATGGATGTCTTCCACGGTTAGCATTAAACATTACTAATCCAATACCACCTATTAAAGCTGCTGATACTACACCCAAAGTTGCAGAAAGAATTTGTGTAGCCAATTTGTATCCAGCCTTGCTTTTTGTTATTTGAACTAATTCCTCATCCTTCTTAATCATATCAGCTAATAATTCTTGTACATCAACTAATGGTTCTGGTTCTATAAAATTTTGAATGAAAAATAAATATATATTATGCCATATATTTTTCTCAATTTCATTTAATAAATAAATTCAATCTTTATATATCTAATATATTTTTAAACTTACTTTTAGGTGATCTTTTTTTAATGGCATTTCCTCCTTCAGTTTTAATTTTACCTTCTAATGATTTATTAAAAAAAATAAAGAAAAAAACAAAGAAAATAATTGATAAGCGCTTCATTTTTATAAAAAGTAAGGAATAGTAAGGAATAATTTAAATGCACAATTTATTTAAAATTTTAATAAAGTTTTTATTAATAATTTTTTCTTAATTTTCTTAAATTTTGTATTTTTTACTTAATTTTAAAAAATTTTTTAATAATTAAATTGTAATATAATTTTTTTTTGAATTTCTTAAAACTTAAACCTTATAAAATTTTCGAATAAAATATATCTAGTAAAATTTATTTAAATAATATTTAATTTTTTCTTTACCTATCTTTTATTCAAAACGTATACACTATATATAGTAGAGTACTTAAATTTTTTTTAATTTTAAAAGAAAAAGATATCAATAAAAAAAAATTCTTTATTTTTTCATATTAAATAGATAACAAATTTATGCTATAAAAATCTATGAGATGCATTCTTCTTTATGTAAATTTGATCCGATATTGGTTTTTCTAAAAAAATTTAAATGCATGCAAGAAATACTTTAAGCTAGTATATGTGCCACTTCACTATTCTATTATATAACGTATAATTATTTATTCTTTATTAATAATTAAAAACAATTACTAAAAAGATTTTCTTTATAAATTATATAGAAATTAAAAAATTATTGCATTATTCTTTATTTTTTTTACAAAAAAATAAAAAAAATATAAAAAAAAAAAAAATAATACCTCAAATTATGGCATTTTAATTTTAAAAAAATAAGATGCATTAATACATAAAAGTATGTTATACTAATAAAATGTAATTATTTTTCCTTAGTAGCATGCATATAAAAAACATTAGCAAATTCCTCATATACAATAATTAAAATTATTATTTTTATAAACTTAAGTATCAATAATAAAAAGTAGAAGTGTATGAAATGTTCAATGGAACTTAATTTATGAGGATTACAGGATTTTTAATTAACTCAAAAATTAATATATATAAATAGTACTTTTATTATATATAAGAAATATAAATAAAATCAATAAAATATAGAAAAAAACAACACTTATAAATTAATAGATTAACAAGAAAAAAAAAATATATTAATAAAACAATTTATAAACAAGGAAAAATGTAAGGGTGAAAAAATATTTTGTATATTAAAAAAAAAAAATAATGAAAAACAAAAGCATTAATTGTTATAAAAATGTTAATCATACATTATTAAACGATATAATTTTCTTAATGTTTTTAGCGAAATCCATTTGAAAAAATAAAAAAAACACAAAAAAAAAAGGAAATTAACATTTTAAAAAAATGTAGTTCATAAATTAAATAATTTACATATTTAATTTTTAAAATATCTAATTCAGTGTAAAATATTACAAAAATTAATCATTGTATTTTGAAAAAATGCTACTTCATAAAAAAAAAAAAATAAAACAGGAAATGTATTTTCCAGTATATATGCTAAAAAAAAAATGATGTATTTTTAAAGTAATTTGTAATATTATATAAAAATTGTATAAAAAAATGTTCTATTTTTTTATAAGAAATTGAATATTTAAAAATAATCTGAAAAATACCATTTTTTGGCTCTTCCTTTTAAATGAATAAAAATCATTTAAATTTTAATTTTTAATTATTTTATTTTTATCATTTCTTTTTTTTTTTTTAATTATTTGGAAATTAAATAGTGTAAAAAGAGTATGGTTAATTTAAACATGTTCATTATATAAAATTTTCTTTATAAAACTACATTAGTTCTTTTTCATTAATTAATTTTTACTTAAGGTTTAATAAAATAAAAGAGTAAACAAAAAAAAGTAAAACATGAAAAAACTTTTAGAAAATTTATTCGAGACTGTTGAATTTGATGAGGAAACTGAATCTTATTTAAAAGAAAGAATAATTGATGAAAAAAAAAAAATATTAGAAAATGGTGTAGATTATTTTTATGATTTAATTTCTTCATTTTCTGATAAAAAAATAAAAAAAAGCAAAATAACAGAAATTTTTAATAAACACATAAAAAACTGCAATTTAGTAACTGATGAAAACAAAAATATTAATAATGAAAAACTATCAAAATCCTTAAACCTAAAAGAATATTGGAAAAATAATAATGTCATTGGATATAATGATCCCTTTTTAGGAATACATGAAAAACAAATTAACTATAATACAAATATCCCCCTAAGTGAAAGTATAAAAATAAATAAAGAAAAACAAAAACAAAAGCAAAAACAATTAAATTTATTTAATGAATGGATAAAAAACAAAATTAAAATTCCATCACCCGTAAGAGTACATAATTTGTTGCATTGTGACGATTTTAATAAAAACAAAACAAAAATTGAAAAAATGTATGATATTAAAATTGATAACTTTAATTTAAGCATTGGTCAGAGAAACTTACTAAATGATACTACTTTAAAAATAAATGTTATGAACAAATACGGACTTATAGGAAAGAATGGTATTGGTAAAAGTACATTACTAGCAAAATTAGCTAGGCATGAAATTGAAGAAATAAAAAAGGATATTAGCATAGCCTGTATTGAGCAAGATTTATTTCTTGAAGATGTTACTGTCCTGGAATCTGTATTAATGGTTGATAAACTAAGACATGATTTATTAAAAGAATTAGAATATCTTGAATCAATAAAAAGTAAAAGAAATGATAATGTGGAAAATTTATGTGATGAAATTAAAGGAGAAAAAAAGAAAAATGAAATAAGAAAAATGAATAATACGAAAGAGAGTGATACTGAAAATGTAGATGAAAAAATATTAGATATTTATGAAAAATTAAATAGTATTTCTTATTTGGAAACAGAAAAAGAAGCAAGCAAAATTTTATGTGGATTAGGTTTTGACTCTAATTTGCAGAAAAAAAAAGTTAATTCTTTAAGTGGAGGTATGAGAATGAGACTCTGTTTAAGTCGTATTTTGTTTAGTAATAATGATATAATACTATTGGATGAGCCGACTAACCATTTAGATATATACACAATACAGTTTCTAATAGACTATATAAAAAAATTAAATAAAACATGTATTATTGTTTCACATGACAGAGACTTTTTAAACGAAGTTTGTACAGATATTATTCATTTTCATAATAAAAAATTAACGTATTACTCAGGAAATTATGACCAATTTGAAAAAACTAGAATAGAACATTTATTACAACAACAAAGAGAATTTGATTCAATTGAAATGAAGAAAAAACATGTTCAAAAATTTATAGATAGGTTCAGATGTAATTCAAAAAGAGCATCACTTGTTCAGAGTAGAATAAAACTTTTAAACAAATTACCTATAATAAATTTGGAAAAAGAAGAAACTCCATTTAGCTTCTCATTTTTAGAACCATTTTATATATCCAATGTACTTATTAGGTTAAAAAACGTCTCATTTAAAAATTCAATGTTTAAAAATATTCAAATAAAAAAAAACGAAAGCATTATAATAGGTGATAATTTTAATGAAACTAATATAAAAATGAATGCAGAGTCACCTAATCTTACCACTACTGAAGAAATTTCAACTATCAATAACAATGATTACCAATTTAAACATGAGTTTTTATTTAAAAATGCATCATTTGAAGTGGATATGGACTCTAGAATTGCAATATGTGGTGTTAATGGAAGTGGTAAAACAACATTAATAAAAATTATTTTGAATTTAATAGATGTTTTTGAAGGAGAATTACATGTTAGCAATAAAGCAAATATAGGATACTATTCACAATACCACGTTGATAGCTTAAATCCAATTTTTAATTCAATACAACAATTACAATACAATTATTCAAGCAAAAATATAAAGGAAGAGGAGGCCATAAAATATTTTAATAAATTTAATATACCTACAAATATTTTATATGAGCCCATATATGTTTTATCAGGAGGTCAAAAAAGTAAGTTAGCATTAGCAATTTTAGCTTATAAAAACCCCAATATATTAATTTTGGATGAACCTTCAAATCATCTTGATATTGAATCAGTTCAAGCTTTAATTGTAGCTTTAAACTTATATAAAGGAGGAATTATTATTATTAGCCACGATACCTATTTAATAAAACATGTAGCCGATGAAATATATCATATAAATAATTGTACGAAAGAATTGGTTAAAATTAACTATGATTTTGATAAATATACAAAATTAATACTTGAAAATAAGATATAGTGCATATGCACATTTTACTTTTTTTTTTTTTCAACAAAATACTTATATATATGTATATACTTGTTACTAGTTTTAGAATACATTTTTTGATTAGACTTGCATAAAAACTAAAAACTGAAATGAAGCTAACTAGTTAACATAAATCAAATGTAATCATACTTAAAAAGCTTTTACATAAAAAACTTATAGACTAATTTATAAATGGGTAAACATTAAAATTAAGAAAAAATGCAAACTCATAAATAAGTATAAAGCATTAATATTTTAATACATCATAATTATTAAAAAAAAAAAACACAACTTAAAAAATAAAATAAAATAATAAGAACATTAAATGTTCTTTAAATAAATAGATGCGTAAAAAATAAAATAAAATAAAATAAAATAAAAATTCTTGCAAAAATAAAAATAAATTAAATTTATAATTAAAATAAATTTTTTTTTATAGAATTAAAATATATTCAATGAATTTTACAAAAAAAAAAAAGAAAATTTTTACATATAAAAAATATTAATATCATTGGTAAAAAACTGTAAAAATAATAGAAAATATCAACAATTAAGGTTATATTATAAGAGAAAAAAATGAAAAAAAAAGAAAAAATTCAGGATGAACCTTTTTATTTTTTACATTTTAAGTTTTGTGATTATTTTCTTTAAATTAATTATATTAAAAATTAAAAAAGATAGTTTTATTTATTTTAAAACACTCTCATTATAATCAATATTGTGTACATAACAATACTGCCTAATTTCTTCATAATTTACAGAACACTTTTCTTTAATTTGTTTATCTGTTGTAAATTTTAGTAGAAAAAATTCTCTTATTTCTTTTATATTGTCTGTAAAATTTTGAAATACATGGATATTATCTGAAGACATTTCTTCATCACAGCTTTTAAAATCCAAATAATTACTATCCTTCAAATTCTTTTTGTTACCACTTTTAAAATAATCAGCAATATATTGAAAAAATCCCTTTTCTCCTATCTGAAGATTTGAAAAATTAATAAAATTTTCCTTTTTGTATAATTCATCCATTTCGAGTAAGTCATAATTTAAAAAATTTTTATTCTCATATAATTTCTTTGTTTTATTTAAATTTGAATTATCTGTTAATTGTACATTAGACATTTTTATATCTTTCACATAGTAGTAATTACATTTTTCATTTATATTATCATTATCACTGATCTCCTTTTTATTATTTGACTCATTAAAAGCTTTATATTCCTTAAAAATGACTTTTTTGGAACTCTTTAAAATATAGTTTATTTTATTTAAAATTATCTTAGGGCAATTAATTAGCTCATCAAATATTTTTATAATTTTATCTTTTTTGTCAAAACATTCATTTCCAAAGGTTAATTGATCCAGAATAGATGAATACTCTTGATTAAATGTGAATATAGTGTTATTTATTATGTAGGATTCTTTCATAATTTCCAACTTCTTTATCAGATCAGAAATTTCTATATTTAGTAATTGAAATGTTAAGTATTTAACAAAAGTACATATGTCTGCTTGAAGTTTTTCAACATTTTTATCGAAACTCTCAATAACAAAAAGTAATCCACCCAATCCGTAAGGTGTAAAAAAGGTTTTTACATTAACAATATAACCATCATTATATCTTAATTTAATAAATTTAATAAAATCTGACGAAATTAAATCAGCGATAATATTAATTAAGACATCACTTAATATAGTTTCTGATTCAATCATATATGATACTGCTATTGAATTACTAGTATTATGACCAATATTTTGGATATTTATTTCAATATCCTCATCATTAATTAGTTTCCTCGTATAATATGTAGATTCACTTCTTTTTATAACACTATTTGTTACTTTTCTTATAAAGGACTCACATAAATTTACTATATATTCTATTCCTGATGCATTAAATGATATTTGAAGTGAGTCTGACTCATAATTTTTTTTTTCAAAGTTTTCCCGTGTTTCGGATATTTCCTGCTTCTTTTTTAAATATGAAAAATTATTTTTATTATCTAACTTGTTATAAACATTTTCATTCATTTTATACTCACTATTATCAATGCTATATAAATTTGTATTGACATTATTATTATCTTTGTCATTGGTATAATTATTATCAATATTGTTATCATTATTATTATTATTTTTACTATTTTCAATTATACTACTATTAATATTATTATTATCATTTATATCACTAATTGTATTATTATTATTATCAGAAATAGTATTATTAACGCTTTTATAATCATTACTGTTATCATCAACATTAATTTTATTATTATTAAAAGAATTTTCATCATTTTTTACGTTTGGCATTATGAGATTTCCGTATATGAAAATGCTAATATAGTTTCTATGAAGGAAGCTATGTATATATCGTACATATGCATTATATGAAGGATAAAAAAAGAAAGAATTTAAAATATCATAAATCTCTTTATCAGTCGGAACATATTTGTTAAATAAAGAATGCATGATTTTTAAGGAATTTTTTATTCCAAATTTTGTACTTGTTTGCACCATTATGTTTAATTCATTATAAGCTTCATTAAATTCATCGTTTGAGGGAATTTCTTTTGCAGACATAATCTCTTCTAACTTGCGAAATAATTCTTCGAAAAAATAGCTATTGGTTTCTATGTGTATACTATATGATCCTGTACCATATCTTATATTAATATTTACTGAACAGTTAATATAATCGGAAAGAAACATTTTTATCTTTTTTTTTAAAATTATAGTGTGTATTCGAGTGAAAATAGCTTCATAAAATGTAAAGTTTTTAGAAGGAAAATAAAAAGTGATGTCTGTCTTTACTTTTAAAATATTTGTTAAACCTTTTTTAAAATAAACATTATATCCATATGAAGATTTAATCAAACAAGGTGTATTATATAAAATGTTTGATCTAAGTATATTTTCATTCTCTTGAGACACGAACATTTGCTGATTTTCTGAGTATTCAAAATTTTCTTTATTACTAAATGGAACACAAAAAAAATATTTTTCGTAAAAAGTATTATTTCCATAATTACTAGAAGGGCAAACTTTTATTTCTGGAAGTTTAAGATTTATATCGTTTATAATTTCCTTCTCGTCAATAAGATATGGATTTTCCCCTATAGCATATGTTATGGTAGTATAAGGAATTTTATTTATATTTGTAATGGTAAATGTATCTACAACATTTATTATATTTAAATTTTCATTCTTCATTAGAGAACCAATTAAACTCGTAATTTTAATATGATTTCGGAAATCATTTTTGTCCTTATCTTCAATTATCTTATCAATAATTAAAAATAAAGATGGATCATCTGAATAAGTTAATAATTTATTGGAGTAATTTATCAAATCATTAAGACCAATATTTATATCATTGTTGTTAAAATTAAGATCAGTTACTAAAGCCTTTTCTCTATAATAATCAAGTATATACTTATTCAACCCCTTATCTAAGCTATCATGATCAAATAATTTAGTAATTTCTTTAATAAATATATTGTATATATGTAATAAATGAACTAAGTTACTTTTTCCTTTCTTTGTCAATTTTATTAGTGTTCCATAATTCAAATAATACTTATTATATGTACTAATAATTTTTAAGTCATATGCGTATTTATTTTCTATGATCAATTTATAATACAATCCATCTTTTTTATAATCAGAAAAAATTTCTTGTAAAAATTTTATTGATCCAAATTCTTCAATTTTTTTATAAAGATCAATATTAATTTTAGAGCTCCAATACAAATAAATTTGATCTGCCCATCCTTCTTTCTTTAGAATTTCAATATATCTGCTTTTTTGGTTTAAATCTAGCATATAATTGGATTTGTTAATAAACTCAATGAAAGTACCATTTTCATTACCATCATATCTTATGAAATTATTATTTATGTCATTATAAGCGAGATTTGTGTTATAATGATTTTTTCGTCTATTAAAGTTTTTGTCTCCAAATTCTATATGATGATTTCCTTTTCCAACAATATTCTTCTCTTTTGAATAATCATAATTTTTTATTTTCTCAAAAATTTGTACAACCATATTTTCAATGTCTCTCATGTTATAATGATTGTCTGAACCTATTTTTCTCCCTAATAATACTGATAGTGACATATTTTTAGGTTGATAACATTTTCTATGAAATTCATATAAGGTTTTTTTTATGTTTAATCCATTTCTTAAAACATTCTTGCACAATGTAATGTAATTTCCATAAACAAAAAATTTAGAATATTTAAAGTCTGTGATATATTCGCTAACAATTTTTAGGCAACTCTCAGGATTATTCTCCATTGAAACATATTCATTATTGATTTCTCTCACTTCATTTTCTATGTATTCTTCATCAAACACAGGATAAAATAAATTATCTGCAAATAATTTCAATAAATGATAAATGTCCTCAGAATTAGCAGTAGCAAAGTAATTAGTAAATGATTCATTAGTACTACAATTATGTTCTGATGAATACCTTCCTAATTCACTTAACAATGTTGTACTTCTTTTTTGAGATCTATAAAAAATTACGTGCTGTAATAGATGAGAAATTCCTGGAATTTCATCGAAATCATCATATCCTCCGCAATCAATAGATATAGAAAAACCTCCTTTGGGAGAATATTTATTAATTATTCCTAAAACTTTAAATTCATTATTTTTCAATTTAAAATATTCGTACTGATTTTTATCATTTTCACCTTTTTTTAAAGTTATTTTTTCACTAAATAAATTGTCCCAATTTTGTTCTATATTATTTAAGGTTTCATTTTCTTCTTCTCCAGAAGTATCGTACAATTTATTACTTATGTCTTCTCCAAATTTTACAGGGTTTATTTTTTTTAGTATATCTCTTTTAGAATCATTAAACTCTCCGTTTGAATCTTCTATTGAATATTTTATATGATTTTCCTCATCATTATCTGATACGTTCTTAAAACTGTTTTGTCCTGAAAAACGAAAATCTGTTTTTTGATTCTCCCTTTTAAATGGTACTAGTTTTTCATCTGATTCACCTATTTTATAAAAATTTAAACTTTTAGGTAAAGTATTATTTATATTATTATTTTTTTCCAGATATTTATCTACGTCTTCTTCTTTTAAGTCATCTTTTTCGTTATTTTTCAAGTGTAAAGTATATTTATTATTATGTGATTCTCCTGAATTATTTATTTTCTTATAAGAATCTTCTGTATTATATTCTTTGCCATTTTCGGAAGTGAATGCATAGTTATTTTCTAATTTCGCTTTTCTGGGATCTTTAAGCACTTCTGATTCCATAGTTTTATTAATATTTTTACTTGATTCTTCATTTACTTCATTGTTCAATTCTTCATTTTTTAATTTATTAACTTTAAGGGATTCATTATTTTTAATGTTCCTAACCTTTTGTAATAATTCAGATCTTTCTAAATTTGTATCATCTAATTTTTCTAAGTAGTTATTTACTTTTTTAGAATCATTAAGTAATAAACCTCCATGTTGAACATTAACATTATTATTGCTTACATCGACATCATTAAGGTTACTTTTACTATATTTATTTAAATTGTTTCTATTCGTAGCAGTATCATTTACATTATAATTAGTTAAATTAATTTTATTTAATCCAGTTGCATCATTTATATTTTTATTACTTAAATCATTTATTTTATTTATATCACTTACACCATTGCTATAATTTAAATTGTTGTCATTCACATTATTTGTGTAATTTTCTTTATTATTATCTAAATTAATTTTATTTTCTCCATTTACATAATTCATTTTACTATCATATATGTTATGTATTCCTTTTACATTATTTCCGCGATCGTTATAATCTAGCTCGTTAATATTTATGTTACGTGTAAATTTTCCACTGTTATTATCTAAATTAAATTTTTTCATTTCATTTTCATCCTTATTATTTTTTAAATCATCATTTACATCATTTCTATAATTTAATTCGTTGGCTTTTATGTTACCTAGGTAGTTTTCATTATTATTATTTAAATTAAACACATTAGAGTTATTGTGATCATTTATGTTATTGTCACTCAAAATTTTGTTTTTTGTATTATTTACACCATTGTTAATATAATTTAAATTGTTATTTACTCCAAATATATCGCTTGCATTGCCACTTAAATTTCTATTATTTATGTTATTTGTGTTATTTATATTACTCCTATAATAATTTACGTTTTTGTCATATGTGCTATTATTATTTACTACGCTATTATTCTTATAGTTTACATTATTATTATCTAAATTATTGATATTTTTACTATTTTTTTCATTGATGTTATTATTCAAAACGATTATATCGTTTTCACCATTATTATTATTTAAATCGCTATAATATACATTATTTATACTGTTTTTTTCTCTATTATAATTTAATTTATTATTTATATCATTTATGTCGTCTGTATTATTATTATTTAAATTATTTGTTCTATTTACATTATTAGCATTGTCATTAATGTTTATTATTTTATTATTTACTTTATGTATGTTATCTATGTTATTTGTTTCCTTATCATTATTACTTGAATTATTTCTATTTAATGTTCTAACATCATTTATATTATTAATATTATTATTATTTAAATGGTTACTATTTATGGTATTTACATCATTAAAAATATGTTTATTTTTAAAATTATTTTCATTATCTTCTTTTAAAATGTTTTGATTCTCATTATTTGAATTGCTTATATTTTTTAAGTTTTCATTATTATTAGTTAAATTCTCTAATTTATTCACTCTATTGTCTTTTCTTAAATTATTTATATTTTGTATGTTATTTGTATCATTTATGTCATTTGTTTCATTTGAACTGTTTACGTCACTTGCATTATTTATCTCTTTCGCAACTTTTGTGTTATTTATATCAATTTCTTTTCTTAAATTAGTTAAATCACTAATCCTATTTTTTCCCTTTATCTTATTAAATTCGTTTGAATGATATAAATCCAAGTCATTTAATTCTGTATTATTTGATTTATTTGTCTCATTTGGTTCATTTATATTAAATAAATCACTATTTTTGTTATTACTTGAATAATTTAACTTATTTAAATTATTTTTATTGATAAAGGCATTTGTATTATCCAAATTGTAGCTATCACTAAAAACATTATTATCTTCATTTTCTTCATTATCACCATATTGATTATCTTCATTTAGTTTGTTACTTTCAATGGCATTATGAGAGGATTGATAATTTTTTAATTCAAGACTGGTATTCTTTTTTTCATTTTTAATCAATGAAGCGTTTTTGTTGGATGTATTTACGCGTGATGTATCAAAATGTCTTTTTTTACTTTTTTTGTCTTCAATTTCTATTTCATCTTTTTCATTTTTCTTACTTCCAAATATATCTTCATTAATAAAATTACGCAATAAAAAAGATTCATTTTCTGTATTTTCTTTGTCTACTACACTATTTTTATTTAAGTTAGATGGGTTATAATTAAGCCCAAGGATCATTGCTCTAAGTTCATCATCATTTAATCCATAGTTAGTTCTGCTATTATTTAATGCATCTTGACAACTTGAAAATTTTTGACAAAATAAAACTAATAATAGCAAAAATTTAATTGTCAAATATATTATTATTTTTAAATTTTTCATCATATTCATATAAAATATTAACAATTTTTTTTTTCAAAGAAAATAATACATTAACTTTTTTTTTTGAAAAATATGCTTTAAATAAAAACCATACATGTATATTTCTGAAAATAACAGTTCAAGAATTTAATACCTTGTAAGTTTTAAACATAATAAGTAAAATATTACACCTCTCATTAAAATTATTTCAGAAATGTTAATATATAAAATTTAATCAATAAGATAAAATTAAAATGATTACATAAAAACAATAAAAATGACTCTACACCATTTTTTTTTTTTTTATATTTTGTGTATATAAAAAAAAATTATGAACGTTAATGCATTTCTTTTTTAATATATAATTATGTTTTACAAACAGAATAAGATTTTATTTACCCATTTTTTTAAATTAAATAAATATATAACATAAAATACATTAATATAAAACAATATAACATAAAAAAATTATAATAACGGGATTATTCATTTTATGAGATAAAAAAAATACATTTTAGAATATTTTCCTTTAATTTCCATCACACACACACACACATATATATATATATATATATATATAGCTAGCAATATTTGTTATTCTTTTGCAATAAATAATACATATGTTTTATGAATTATTCATGTACTAAATGAAAAAAAAAATTTAAAGATTAATTCACTTTTTTGAAATTAAACTGAAGAATTTATTAGATTATAGAGATTTATCAAAAATATATTTTATATTAAAATAAAAGATAATATTAATTTTATGATACCAATAAAGTTTTATATGTAAAAATACATGTAAGAATGTAAATACTTTTAAACTTTTACATTTTCAATTTTTCTATCTCATCAATTTTTTTTATTTTTAATTTTTGTTATATGTTTCAGAGTAAAAATTAATGCTAATAGTATGATTAATTTATTAATATACTAATGCATCTCTTTATACAATTCAGTTTAAAAGTTATGACATTCTAAAGAGTGTAAATATTTTATCTTTAAATATTTGTAAATTCCATGAAGAAAATTAAACACATCATCACGTACAAATAAAATAATTAGGAATAATTTCCGTAACAAAATACACTGAACTTTTTCATAATTGAAAAGATCATTTCAAAAAAAAATATGTAAGATTGCGTTTCAAAGATAAGATACAAAAATTTTAAATAGAGTAAAAGTTTTGAAATTTTATATTTATAAAAGTTTTTTAAATGTAAACGTAATGGTTTCCTTAACTATAATAGGAAACTTTAATGCTATTTTTTCTTACCATACATAAAATTTTAATTTATGTAATTAACAACAAAAAATAAAGAGTAAATTTGAAAAATACAAAAAAAAATTTTTCAAAATGAACAAATAAAATAATGTAGAGTATTTTTAGGATAAAAATTTTTAATATATTTTATTCATTTCATGAGTATAAAAAGAGAAAAATTTTATATAGTGTATATTTTCCTCAGAATTGTACTATACTAAAAAAAGAAAATAGTTTTTAAAACCTGTCTTTTTGAAAAATAATTCACATGAATTTTTAAAATAAGGAAAGTATTATACATAAAAAATTGCTCTTATAATACTATTTTATCTTTTCCATATAAATATATGAGTTTACTTAAAATATAAATTTTATTTTACAATTTTATATTTTATGCCTTTTTTTAATAAATTTTTAGAATTATTATCCTTCTGTTAAAGAATAAATATGTATGAAAGTTATTAAAATATTTTATGAGAATCTGAAAAAATTGCACTTAATGCAAAAACATATGGTAATATCAATATGATCTAAGAAAATCAAATAAGAAAGTGTAAATGAGATGGATTATAAGTTTTCATATAAAATATGTGATTATTATTAAATATTTTGTTAAAAATACGAAACTATTTTTACAAAACTCAAATATTAATAAAAAGAATACATTAAGCATTTTAATACGTTGAATTTAATAAAATGAAAATATTTCTTAAAACTTAATATTTTATTTCTAAATATTTTCACTGTGCTTCAATGAAAATTTTGTTTTTTTTCTATTATGTGTATACATACCTTTTTACTAATAATTTAGAAAGGTGATCAATAGAATCATAATTTAATTTTTTTCATTTTTGTTTCAATTTATTCTTCTATTATTCATCTATTTATCTATTCTAAAGCAAATAAATAACATTAAAAGCAATACCTTGCAAAATACTAAAAATTATTAACCAATAAAAAAGGTAAGAATTTGATTAGTGTACAAATGTATTATTCACAATGCTATTTAAAAAAAAAAGAATATATATATTAATTTAAAAAACAATGAATTATGATATATATATTATATTTGTAAATTTTCCAATATATTTATTATTTCTCAAAGCATATTTTGAAATATAAACATAGATAAATATATGAATAATGAAATAGTTTCTACTGATAATTCAATGACATATTTATATTAGATACAACAAAAATTTTAGTGAGATTAATTAAAGTGAAATTTAAGAATACAAGGAAATGCAAGATTTTATATCTATTTTTTTCTATTATTTTTATTAATTATTTTAGATAAAATTTTAATATTTTTTTCTTAAAAATTAAACATTAAATGTAATATACAACTATTTTTTTTTTGTTAAATCTGATAATATTTTATATATATATACACGTATATTAGGGTAATTTTTCATGTTATCACATGAAAGGTGTTTGTTTGCACTATATTTTGCATTAATATATTATTGGTAATTAAAAATAAGAGATTCAAATTTTACTATAAAATTAATAGCAATAAATAGATAAGGTCTTTTATTGTTTATTTTATTATATATTCAAACGTTTGTGGGAATTTTTTTTTGTTAGAACATTCAAAAATTCATTTATTTCAAGGTTAATAGCAAAACAGTTTTCTATCTAAAAAACAGTTATGTCTACTTTTCTCAAGTTTTTTCATTAAATTCAAAATAGAAACATAATACTTCATGAGTAATAGAATTAAAGTATATATTGCGATATATAATTTTTTTAGTTTAATATATCTCAAAATTAATATAAGACTATATACATTTTTTATATTCCTTTATTTTATTTATATAAAACAGTTATAGTTATTTATGAAAAAAATTATGTAGAATTTTTAATTTTCGAGAAAGTCATTTTATGGTTCAAAAGGAATATTCACAATTTACTAATATTTATTCAATAATTCACATAAATATTTTTTTAATCTTAAAAGTTGCGGTGTAAATAGATACCATATATATAATATAATGTTCTTCAAATTTTAAAAAATACATCCTGAATATGTGTTAATCTAAAATATCGTAAAATATAAGTATTTTAATTCTACCGTATACTTATTTTTTTATTATACATTTCAATATTCATAAATATAGTTTTATAAATTTTGGTAGATAATTTATATACATTTTTGAAGTTTTATAGATGGTACTAATTTTACATATAATAAAAAAAGATGTTTTATAAAAAAATATAGGATAGAATTTATGAACAGTTTTGTTATTTTTCGTTGCGATTTTTCATATTATTGCGTTTAAAAGGAAAAATAAAAGTTCATTAATAAACTACTTATAAGGAATGATGATTTTTGTATATTTTTTTATATTTCCATTCTTTGGAGAATAAATATAAAATATTGATAAAAAAAAAAAAAAATAAGATAAATATAAAAGATTAAAATACACAATATTACTGCAAATTTTTTGTTAGTGTTGTAAAAAAAAATTCATAGAATTAATAGAAAATATAAAATAATTTACAATAGTCAAATATATATATTAAAAATATAACCCAAAAATATGCTTCAATTTTCTTATTGCACAATATTAAACAAAAAAAAAATTTTTTGCAAGTGTTAAAAATTTTGTTCATTCTTGTTTTTTTTTATCAAATACTTTTTTTTAATAAATTTAAAATATGAGACAGAATGTGTATAATTTATTTCTATATTCTACTATTCAAAAGATAAAACATATGCTTAAAATTTAATGTATTTTTCATATTTTATTGTTAAGACATTTTATAAAAAGGTATAAACAACAATTTTACTAAATTGTAAATATTTATGTAGAAATTTAAGATTAATTAGAAAAAAAAAAAAAAAAATATATTAAAATATAATAGGAAGATTCTCTACAGTATAATTGTATATAAATAGAAAAAGGTATATATTTTACAGGTATAAAATTAAAAATATAATTAGTCACAAAACCTTTAATTGAACATTAATTTATAATAGAATAACATAAAAAGTTATTAATGAGAACCATGTGATAAATAAAAGAAAATTATAATAAATAAAAATTAACAACCAAATTTATCAATTAAAATGTTAATTCAAGAGTAACAAATGAAGGAATAAATGCAGAGACTATGAATTATGAAGCAAGATTATGCTAAAATATATTAAAAAATAAAATTTTAAAAGGAAAAATCCTCGTTAAAAAAATACCTGGTATAAAAAAGGTGTAATTCATTATAAACAAAATTATACCAAAAAAATATTAATTAAAATAAGAGAATGCTCTGAGTAACAAACAAAAATAAAATAAATTTTGAAATTAAAAATATATGATATTAATATGACGATAATATAATTATCCAATTTTCTTACAAAAAAATAAAATAATATAAAAAAAAAAAAATAGATTAATAAACATATAAATAATATGTTTTAATATATAATGAAATATTAGTACATAATAATAAGCGTAAGATAAGTTATTCTAAATATACATAGTTTTACTATAGTTCATACATTAACATTTTAATCTATATGGCTATTTTTATATATCATTAAATTATATCACTAACATTAATTTTTTTTATGTACGATTATATTAATTTTAATTAAACAATTATGTCTTTTAAAACAAAGTTATACATTAATTTAAAATTAATTATTTTATTATTTATATTTTTATAAATAAATTTAAAATAAATTAATTTCATAATTTAATTATTATATTTTTTTACACATTTTTATTATATTATTTTACTTTAATATATTTTA